TTACTTTGAAGCTATGAAAATAGAGAATTCTCTGGGCCGGCCCGGTGGCGCACTGCGCTAGTGCGCTGCTTGGGAAGCGCGGCAGCGCTCCCGCCGAGGGTTCGGATCCCATATGCAGACCGGTTCCTGCTCACTGGCTGAGCGAGGCGCGGGAGCAACGCCAAGGGGTGCAATCCCGTTGCCGGTCCCCGGTCCGGTACGGGGGCGACACTGAGGGTTGCGATCCGTTGCCGGACACGGAAAAAAGACAAAAAAAAAAAAAAAAAATTTAAAGTCACCAGAAATGCAGTTCGCTTTTTTATTTATTTATTCATTAGTTAAATAGTAAATGCTTTCTGTTTTGGGTGCTGTGGATATATTGAGTAGCAGAATCTGATACAGTTTTTGCTTTTAGGGAGCTTGCCGTCTAGTGGTGGAAGTAGACACTGAATAATTGTATTAATAGATGTGTAATTACAGTGTTGGATCTGAGCTTTTTTTCCCTCCTAAACTTACTGGTGAATTGTTTGCCTATTTGCCTATTACTATGTTTGAAACTTGTTTTAGTTCTTAACTTCATCATTTCTTATTTATGTGAGTAATGTTTACATGTTTTATTGTCTCTATTTTTCTTGTAGACAGTTGGTTTCAAACTACTAAGGAAAAGGAGAGTATAGAGGGTGATGATATATATTAGCATTTAGGGTGCTTTTCAGCTTTCTATTAGAACTTCTGAAAGTTAGGGAACAGAAAAATTGTTAATGGGAAGTTTTTTGGTTTCTCACTGAATTTTAATTTATTAATGTTATGTTTCTCTCTGTTAATATGATTAATTTTTAAAAATTAACTTTTCCCTCACCTTGTTTACTTCCCTTGGTATTAGAAATATTTAAAATATATAAATTTTCTCAAAAATTTGTACTTGTTTAAAATGTAAATATATACTTCAATAGGTTTGGTTTGGCTTTAAATCTTAGATCACTCTATCTTATTCATTTGACACTTATTTATGGAGCACCTCTTATAAGAGTGCTAGATGCTGAGAGATCTAATGGTGAATAAAAACAGATACAACCCTTGCCCCCATGGAGTTCATAATCCTGTGGATTGAATAAATAGTCACATAATAGATGTCCTTTTCCAATTGTGTAGAAATAACAGAAAATACATGTGTGTGAGTGTGTGGTATAACTTTGAGGAAACAACGGTTATGCTGAAAGGTAAAGGTTGGGTAGGAGCTAAAGTTGCAAATGGCGGAAAAGGAAGGTTGATTATTCAGAGTAAATGGCTTTTTCAAGGGCCTGTGGTTGAAGGGAGACTGCTGCCTTAAGAATGTCAGTGTGTATAAAACGAAAGATGAGGAGTAGGAGCAATGAAAAAAGAGCCCACAGAAGTAGTTGGGGATGTCACCATGTTCACCATATCAAATATTTCCATCTCTGATGGCTTAAATATAAAGGATTTAAAATGAAGAGTTGGGGTGGGGACAGATTAAATTGTTCCATTTTGTTATAAAACTATACTTTTGATATACTGATAATGATTTTCATAGATGAGGTTTGAGCATTAAAAAATGTAGAATATTTTTTTGTATAAGAATCTATATACACATTACTAGTTTGCTTGCCCCCAAATAGCATCACCCTCCCACCTGCTCCGTGAAATTTGTTGCCTAATGTGTAGATATTTCAGACCACTCCCCCTATTAGTCATTTAGAGTTCTTTTTAAAGTTTTATTTTTAGTGGTTTTCTTGTTTACAAAATATACTGATAAGGACATGTGAGATGGTAGAAATAATGAAAGATTATCTTGTTTGCATGTGTGCAGATCTGGTGTTATATTTGTCTTTAAAAGTATATTTTCCAAGTTACTGTGTGTTAATTCATACCTGCGGATTCAGCTATATAAACAGGAATTTGGGGCCGGCCCGGTGGCGCACTGGATAGTGCGCCGCTTGGGAAGCGCGGCGGTGCTCCTGCCCGAGGGGTCGGATCCCACATACAGACCGGTTCCTGCTCACTGGCTGAGCGCGGCGCGGGAGCAACGCCGAGGGTTGCGATCCCGTTGCCGGTCCCGGTCCGGTACGGGGGCGACACTGAGGGTTGCGATCC